TAAATACATGGTTAGATTCAGCATATGAAAGAACCCCGAGAATTCAATTTTTGATGAAATCAAACAAAGTTTAATTTTGGACCCTTTTGACCTCAATGTGGACAAAGTTGATAACGGGGCCCAAAAATCAAAAATCTAAGTACATGGTTAGATTCAGCATATCAAAGAACCCCATATATTCAATTTTTGTTGAAATCAAACAAAGTTTAATTTTGGACCCCGATTTGGACCAACTTAAAAACTGGGCCCATAATCAAAAATCTAAATACATGTTTAGATTCAGCATATCAAAGAACCCTAAAATTTAAATTTTTGTTAAAATCAAACTAAGTTTAATTTTGGACCCTTTTGACCTCAATGTGGACAAAGTTGATAACGGGGCCCAAAAATCAAAAATCTAAGTACATGGTTAGATTCAGCATATCAAAGAACCCCATATATTCAATTTTTGTTGAAATCAAACAAAGTTTAATTTTGGACCCCGATTTGGACCAACTTAAAAACTGGGCCCATAATCAAAAATCTAAATACATGTTTAGATTCAGCATATCAAAGAACCCTAAAATTTAAATTTTTGTTAAAATCAAACTAAGTTTAATTTTGGACCCTTTGGACCTTAATGTAGACCAATTTGAAAACGGAACCAAAAATTAAGAATCTAAATACACGGTTAGATTCGGCATATCAAAGAACCCCAATAATTCAATTTTTGATGAAATCAAACAAAGTTAAATTTTGGACCCTTTGGACCTCAATGTGGACCAATTTAAAAACGGGGCCCAAAATCCAAAAACTTAATACACGGTTAGATTCAGCATATTAAAGAACCCCAAGAATTCAAGAATAAAACCCCATTGAAATTGATCAAGAAATAAGCAATTTATACGAAGTATCTTCTTTTGCACAATACTGTGCAATTGAATATTTCTTGCTATTGCGCAATACTGTACAATTGACAATTTCTTGCTATTGCGCAATTTTGTGCTATTGGATATTTCTTGCTATTGCGCAATACTGTGCAATTGAAGATTTCTTGCTATTGCGCAATACTGTGCAATTGAAGATTTCTTGCTATTGTGCAATACTGTGCAATTGAAAATTTCTTGCTATTGCACAATACTTATTATATAATAATTTACACATCCTGTTTGGTGTGTATCTCCTACCATATCATTATTATTTGCTTTTAAATATAAATCAGAAATAACCAACTTAAAATGGAAAATTTTAAAAGAAAAAAAAGGAAAAAAAGAAAAAAAAAGAAGAAAAAAAAATCCCCCCCCCCCCCCCCAATTTTTTGAACCCCCTTATTATTCATTACTCCCATACTCAATCCCAGCCTTCCCTTTGTGGTATGGTACCTTGCATACAATTTCAGAGAGATCCATACACTTGAACACAAGTTATTGTCTGGAAACTAGGAAAATGCTTATTTTTGGCCCCTTTTTGGCCCCCAATTCCTAAACGTTTCGGGCAATTACCCCCAAACTCAATTCCAGCTTTCCCTTTGTGATATGGAACCTTGTAGTACAATTTCAGAAATATCCAAACACTTACACACAAGTTATTGTCATGAAACTAGAAAAATGCTTGTTTTTTGCTCCTTTTTTGGCCCCTAATTCCTAAAATTTTGAGGCAATTACCCCCAAAATCAATTACAGCCTTCCCTTTGTGATATGGAACCTTGTGGTACAATGTCAGAGAGATCAATACACTTACACACAAGTTATTGTCTGGAAGTTACAAAAATGCTTATTTTTGGCCCCTAATTCCCTAACTGTTGGTACCATAACCCCCAAAATCAATCCCAACCTTCCTTTCGTGGTATTGGACCTTATGGTAAAATTTCATGGAGATCCATTCACTTAAACTAAAGTTAGAGTGCGAAAACCAATGTGTCTTCGGACGACGCCGGACGACGCCAGACGACGACGACGACGACGACGACGACGACGTCATACCAATATACGACCAAAAAATTTTTGTGATTCCGTAATTGGTCTTGACATTAACATTAACAAAGTCCTACTATTAGGGGAGTTTAAAGACCTTGGCTAAGTTAGTCCTGAGACTACTGTGTTATGGTAGTCTCTGAGGTCTGTCGCAGAAAAAAAAATCATAATTGTTTTTACTACAGAAGACACCATGTCAGTTCAGATTGTACATATCCAGACTTTTTCAAACAGAATTATGATAGTATCAAATGTGTCAGGACAACTACAGACTTAAGTTGAGACCGTGAAGAGTGCATTTAGAGCATGTTGAGACAAATTCTGACAGTGTTACGAATGTGTTGACACATATTTAGACAGAATTCAGACTGTTAAGACACAGACTTAGTATAGAAAAATCAGAATTATTAAGTAAAATCTTTTATAGAGAAACCTATACTTTTTAGAATGTTTAGACAAAAGAATAAAATTGGCATTTCCTGAAGAAAAGGTTTCAGGAAAAAAATTACAGGAAATAGTCACAATAATGAAAGTAGTTAATTTGGAATATTAAACTTTTGGATAATTTTTTTAATTTTTTTTAGTAGGATTTAATTAAATTGTTTATAAGTGTTTAATAAAACACAGATACAGCTTCCTCTGCTTATTTCTAGACATATACATTGTACATCCAATTTGATTACAGTTGCCATCTCAGTACTAAAATCTATGACAAACGAAACTATTTCAATTTTGAAATTAAAAATTGTCCACATCTTTAAGCAGCAATATTCCAACTGCACCTGTGTGTTGAGTATACATCAGTGTCTGAACAGAAAAAAGGAAATGTTTGATGTCATAATCTGTTCAGATATTGAACAATAGATAGAAAATTTAAAGAGTAAATAGAAGCAAGTAAATTATAATAAAATGTAGTTGTTTGACAAGAATTTAGGACAGAAAGTCACAATTAAGTTTTGAGATTTAATTTAATTGATGAAGAAAAAACTTATTTAAAAAAAAAGTTTGTATTTTTCTTGAACTATTACATTGTATATATAAACCAACTTTGTTATTAAAATTTATTTGATAAATATCAATAATGATCAAATAATTGTTAAGAAAACAAAATGTCAAAGTGGCTCAATTGGTACATAAACGGCTTCATGGTGCCAAGAAATATATCATTTGCATGATTAAAATTTAATAAATTTTCTTTTAACAAGGCTTATGAACAATTTCCTAAACAGTGAAATGAATGTATGTAACATACATTTAAATAATTTTGACAATCTACCAATTGATAAATTACAACACAAGATGTTGAAATCTGTTATGGGGGTCAAAAGTCAGTCATCAAATATGGCTTGTAGACTTGAATGTAACAGGAATCCAATGTTGATTTTCTCATTATGTTTAATGTATAACTATTATATGAGACTACTTAAAATAAAAAGAGATAGAATACTATATAGTGCATTTACTGCAGATCAAGAAAGAAAGCTCAAAATGCTGGTTTTCTACCCTAAATAAAATATTTATAGTACTTAAACTTGATACAAAAAATTTGACAAATAATAGTGTTTTTAAAAATAGCCTAATAAGATATTAAAATCAGCAATCAGACTCACAACTACAAAAAATAAAATCTGGACTTGTGGACAGTAAACTGATGTTTTTAAGTAATATTTTTATTCCAAATTTTTTTCCCTTCTATCTTCAAACCAATCTTACCAAAAATATAAAAAGTAAAATTACACAACTATGTATCAGTGCTCATTGTTTAAATATAGAACAGGGTAGATATAATAAACCCAAAATTCCAAGAGAACAACGTTTTTGCAAATTTTGCACTGAAGTTGAGACAAAAGAACATTTTTTTATATCTTGTGATTAATATAAAGTTATAAGGCAAACTTTTTTCCAGTATCAAAATTTTTAAAACTTTAACCACAGAGTAAATGTAATGTTAACTGGAAGAAAAACTAAGTCCATTTATGAGTAAACTACGGAAAAACAGGATTTTTTTTTACAAAATTTACTTCTGGATACTACCTTATGATCATAAACAAGCTTCTGTCAAAGTTTGGTAGAAATCCAGTATAGTTTAAGAAAGTTATTAAAGTTTTAAAAACTTTAACCACAGAGTGAATATTTGTGGACAACGCCGCCGACGCCTCCTTCGACGGAATGTAGGATCGCTATATCTCACTTTTGCGACAAAAGGTCGCAGGCTCAACAAAAAGAAAATATTCAAAGATCATTGTCTTGTATATATATATATATATGCTCGGAAATGGGCCCTTTAACATGTTTAATTGGATTCAATAAAAATTCTTATTCTTATTCTTATTCTGTATATTCAAACAATTGTCAACAAATTATTTGTGACTTTCTGTCCTGTGAATTTTTGTCCTGTAACTTTTTGTTCGTTTACCGTTTGACAACCATCTGTTAAAATGTTTAAAAAAAAACTAAATCAACACAATTTTGTTTATAATCTTGGAATGTTTATTCAATTAAAATAAATACAAACTTAGAAATACCACATCCTTGTATACTAAGTTTAGAGAAAAAGAATGGGTTTTTTTACATCTTGTATCAAATACTAGTACATACATATAAGATTATTTATACCAAATTTCTGCTTCAATAATGCATTCTTTTATTTTCTACTCAATAACTATATATGTTGACAAAATTTGTTACCCTATCTAATATTGAGGTTAATTACATATATGATAAAAATGATCATGTTATTTCAAATATTTTGTAACCATCCTTCCCCATACATGTATGTAACCATTGTAACCTGATTTCCCATGCATGTAACCATTGTTACCCTCAATCCCCATGTATGTTACCACTGTAACCCTTATTCTCCATGTATGTAACCATTGTAACCTGTCTTTCCCATGTGTGTAACCATTGTAACCCTCAATCCCCATGTATGTAACCATTGTAACCCTCATTCTCTGTGCATGTAACCATTGTCACCTGACTTTCCCATGATGTAACCATTGTAACCCTCAATCCCCATGTATGTAACCATCGTAACCCTCATTCCTCATGCATGTAACCATTGTAACCTGACTTCCCCATGTATGTAACCATTGTAACCTGACTTCCCCATACATGTTACCATTGTAACCCTCCTTCCCAATGTATGTAACTATTGTAACCTTACTTCCCCATACATGTAACCATTGTAACCTGATTTCCCATGAATGTAACCGTTGTAACCCTCATTCTCCATGTATGTAACCATTGTAACCCTCAATCCCCATGCATGTAACCATTGTAACCCTCCTTTCCCATGCATGTAACCATTGTAACCCTCATTCCCCATGTATGTAACTATTGTAACCTGATTTCCTATGCATGTAACCATTGTAACCATCAATCCCCATGTATGTAACCATTGTAACCCTCATTCTCCATGTATGTAACCATTGTAACCTGATTTCCCATGCATGTAACCATTGTAACCTGATTTCCCATGAAGTTAACCATTGTTACCCTCATTCTCCATGTATGTAACCATTGTAACCCTCATTCTCCATGTATGTAACCATTGTAACCTGACTTCCCCATGCATGTAACCATTGTAACCCGACTTCCCCATGCATGTAACCATTGTAACCCAACTTCCCCATGCATGTCACCATTGTAACCTGACTTCCCCATGCATGTAACCATTGTAACCCGACTTCCCCATGCATGTAACCATTGTAACCCGACTTCCCCATGCATGTAACCATTGAAACCAGCAATCCCCATGCATGTAACCATTGTAACCTGACTTCCCCATGCATGTAACCATTGTAACCTGATTTCCCATGCATGTAACCATTGTAACCCGACTTCCCCATGCATGTAACCATTGTAACCTGACTTCCCCATGTATGTAACCATTGTAACCTGATTCCCCATGCATGTAACCATTGTAACCGGACTTCCCCATGCATGTAACCATTGTAACCAGCAATCCCCATGCATGTTAACATTGTAACCTGACTTCGCCATGTTTGTAAGGCCAACCTTAAAAATATGTTTGTTTGCAGTTTTCCGACTGTACCTTCAGACTGCAGGGTCGGTAGGTAGGAAAAATATTTTATTTTATCAGCCAGAATAAAGTTTAAACAAGTAGTTTAACACAAACCAAGTTTCTTGTGAAGAAAAAACATTTTAAAACAACAAACACTGAAAACCAACATGAAATGAACAGGCATTTTCAGGTAAACACCTTTTTAACCAAAACTGAAACTTAACATAGTGTCATTATACAATTTATGACATAAATTTATGGTATAATGAAATACTGGATTACTTATAAACAAGGAATGACTAGAATTGTTGTAAAGAAACATATTCACTGACATATATGCATCTTTACTAGAATGTTTTCATGAGTGGAGTATTTGCATCAGAAAAATGTAGATATTAAAGATTCAAAAGACAATTTAGGAGTGTGTTAAAAAAAAATCAACCATTGAATCTTCCTCAATTGAAAAAAAAGACAACTTAAAAAAAAATATATTAGACATCTGACATAAAGGTTATATTTGGAAAGATGTGTTGATGCCAGGCTTTAATTAAAACAAACAAAAATCTTAAGTCTAGCTTTGGGGTGAAATCCATAGCACCCCATTAAAAGAAAATGGTCTGTACTGAAATGTTTTGACTGCATAAAAAAAATAGCAGCATAGCTCCTAGCTAAGGACATATTTCAATTCAATTCACACAGGCCACACAGTTTGGGTATATTTAATATTGTAAGAGAGAGAATAATTGCAATGAGTGGGACAGCCCCCTTATCCTAAAGGAGCATACTCATTGCAATCGAAGATAGATTTGATACAGAAAGAATATATTTATTTCTCAAGCCAACCATTCATTTTCTCTACATCTTTGTGTAGTTTGTGTGGCTTCTTATTGATTTAACATTTCAAATGCGTCCTTCCACCGTACAGTCGTGTTTACAGTTATCCATGAAGTCACGGAGGAGTCTGTTTCCTCTTTGTCGTCTTCACGACGATTTAAAGAAAATATGGCATACTTCAGGCTGGTGTCGAATTGTTGAACCCCTGATATTGGTTCCATAAAGTCAGTCTCAAAAGATTCTGTATCCGATTTGTTTAAGACAGAAACGGTTATCGTGTCGGTTTTATGAATATCCGCTGCATCATCGTCAATGATATCATCGAAGACATCATTCCGTGTGCAATTCTGCCTGAATCAGTATAAACAGTTTACTATGAAACTTTTCTGTGTATTATTTGTCTTAAAATTGACAGAAGACGACAGAATAAAGTACTCCTCCATGACTTCGTGGATACCTGTAAACAATCTCCATGTGCTTTACCATTAAAGGGTCCGATGAACGCTTGACAGGAAGGGAAGAAAAACCGAACTTCAAACATGTAATTGACCTAGACTCGAAATCAATTCCGGAAACGACCCGAAATTCCCGATCGAGTCAATTGAAGTATTAAAAATAATTTCTTCAAATTAAAAACAATAAAATGTTCACAGTCGGGCGGATTTTCGAAGGTCGGTCGGTAAACTGCAAACATACAATATTTTAATTTAAGCCTAACCATTGTAACCTGACTTCACCATGTATGTAACCATTGTAACCTGATTTCCCATGCATGTTACCATTGTAACCCTCATTCTCCATGTATGTAACCATTGTAACCTGACTTTCCCATGCATGTAACCATTGTAACCTGATTTTCCATGCATGTAACCATTGTTACTCAACTTCCCCATGCATGTAACCATTGTAACTTGAGTCTCCATGTATGTAACCCAACTTCCCCTTGCATGTAACCATTGTAACCTGATTTCCCATGCATGTAATCATTGTAACCTGATTTCCATGCATGTAACCATTGTAACCTGACTTTCCAATGTATGTAACCATTGTAACCAGCAATCCCCATGCATGTAACCATTGTAACCTGATTTCCCATGCATGTAACCATTGTAACTTGAGTCTCCATGTATGTAACCATTGTAACCCAACTACACCTTGCATGTAACCATTGTAACCTGATTTCCCATGCATGTAATCATTGTAACCTGATTTCCATGCATGTAACCATTGTAACCTGACTTCCAAATGTATGTAACCATTGTAACCAGCAATCCCCATGCATGTAACCATTGTAACCTGATTTCCCATGCATGTAACCATTGTAACCAGCAATCCCCATGCATGTAACCATTGTAACCTGAGTCTCCATGTATGTAACCATTGTAACCCTCATTTCCCATGCATTTAACCATTGTAACCCAACTTCCCCATGCATTTAACCATTGTAACCCGACTTCCCCATGCATGTAACCATTGTAACCTGATTTCCCATGCATGTAACCATTGTAACCAGACTTCCCCATGCATGTAACCATTGTAACCTGATTTCCCATGCATGTAACCATTGTAACCTGATTTCCCATGAATGTAACCATTGTAATCTGACTTCCCCATGTATGTTACCATTGTAACCTGACTTTCTCATGCATGAAACCATTGTAACCTGATTTCCCATGCATGTAACTATTGTAACCTGACTTCCCCATGTATGTAACCATTGTAACAAGCAATCCCCATGCATGTAACCTGATTTCCATGCATGTAACCATTGTAACCTGATTTCACAATGTATGTAACCATTGTAACCAGCAATTCCCATGAAGTAACCATTGTAACCTGATTCCCCATGCATGTAACCATTGTAACCAGCAATCCCCATGCATGTAACCATTGTAACCTGAGTCTCCATGTATGTAACCATTGTAACCCGACTTCCCCATGCATGTAACCATTGTAACCTGATTTCCCATGCATGTAATCATTGTAACCTGACTTCCCCATGTATGTAACCATTGTAACCCTCATTTCCCATGCATTTAACCATTGTAACCCGACTTCCCCATGCATGTAACCATTGTAACCCGACTTCCCCATGCATGTAACCATTGTAACCCGACTTCCCCATGCATGTAACCATTGTAACCTGATTTCCCATGCATGTAACCATTGTAACCAGACTTCCCCATGCATGTAACCATTGTAACCTGATTTCCCATGCATGTAACCATTGTAACCAGACTTCCCCATGCATGTAACCAGACTTCCCCATGCATGTTACCATTGTAACCCAACTTTGCCATGCATGAAACCATTGTAACCTGATTTCCCATGCATGTAACCATTGTAACCCGACTTCCCCATGCATGTAACCATTGTAACCTGACTTTTCCATGCATGTAACCATTGTAACATGACTTTTCCATGCATGTAACCATTGTTACCTGATTCCCCATGCATGTAACCATTGTTACCTGATTCTCCATGAATGTAACAATTGTAACCCGACTTCCCCATGCATGTAACCATTGTAACCTGATTTCCCATGCATGTAACCATTGTAACTCGATTTCCCATGAATGTAACCATTGTAACCTGACTTCCCCATGTATGTAACCATTGTAACCTGACTTCCTCATGCATGAAGCCATTGTAACCTGATTTCCCATGCATGTAACCATTGTAACCTGATTTCCCATGCATGTAACCATTGTAACCTGACTTCCCCATGTATGTAACCATTGTAACCAGCAATCCCCATGCATGTAACCATTGTAACCTGATTCCCCATGCATGTAACCATTGTAACCAGACTTCACCATGCATGTAACCATTGTAACCTGATTTCCCATGCATGTAACCATTGTAACCAGACTTCTCCATGCATGTAACCATTGTAACCTGATTTCCCATGCATGTAACCATTGTAACCAGACTTCCCCATGCATGTAACCATTGTAACCCAACTTTGCCATGCATGAAACCATTGTAACCTGATTTCCCATGCATGTAACCATTGTAACCCGACTTCCCCATGCATGTAACCATTGTTATCTGACTTTTCCATGCATGTAACCATTGTTACACGACTTTTCCATGCATGTAACCATTGTAACCTGATTCCCCATGCACGTTACCATTGTAACCTGATTCTCCATGTATGTAACAATTGTAACCCGACTTCCCCATGCATGTAACCATTGTAACCTGATTTCCTATGCATGTAACCATTGTAACCTGATTTCCCATGAATGTAACCATTGTAACCTGACTTCCCCATGTATGTAACCATTGTAACCTGACTTCCTCATGCATGAAACCATTGTAACCTGATTTCCCATGCATGTAACCATTGTAACCTGATTTCCCATGCATGTAACCATTGTAACCTGACTTCCCCATGTATGTAACCATTGTAACCAGCAATCCCCATGCATGTAACCATTGTGACCTGATTTCCCATGCATGTAACCATTGTAACCTGACTTCCCCATGCATGTAACCATTGTAACCTGATTTCCCATGCATGTAACCACTGTAACCAGCAATCCCGATGTATGTAACCAATGTAACCCTCATTCTCCATGTATGTAACCATTGTAACCTGACTTTCCCATGCATGTAACCATTGTAACTTGATTCTCCATGTATTTAACCATTGTAACCCTCATTCTTTATGCATGTAATCATTGTAACCCGACTTCCCTATGCATGTAACCATTGATACAATCATTTCCCATTTATGTGACCATTGTTATCCCCAAACCATATGTATTTTATCATTGTAACCTGACTTCCACATGCATGTAACCATTGTAACCCAACTTCAATGTGTATGTAAGCATTGTAATAAGGGGACGAAGTCCCCTATTATTAGTCCCCTATTACGGTAGAAAAATCAATAGAAAAAAAAAAAAAAAAAAAAATCGGGAAAATTTCCCCAAATTTTCATTCTACTAATGAACTCAAAATCGTTAACTTTTTAATTTTCAAACTTTTTTATTTTCCCGCATTTGCACAGAAATCTACTTCCTTTTTCTGGTCTCATTTGCATGAGTCTTTGAGTAAAATATATATTTATGAGTCTTTGAGTAAAATATATATTTATCAGTCTA